GAGTTGACATCTGGGACGTTCCGAACAAGACTGTCTTGCTGGTCGCTAGAATGCGCTGGTGCAGATCGCTTCGATTTCTGTTTCTTCCTTAAAGGTGATGTCGTCACAAAACCCGAATACGAATCGCGTCACGCGGAGTGGTTTCACCAAAAAGAAAAGCAAGCAAATTTTCGGACTTCTAGTCACCATTCCCTCCCAACTGCCCTGCGTAGGATCATGGCGTGGGCTGTCAGTATTCGGAAGGCCTATACAAAGACCAAGCGCAGTTCCGAGGATAGCCCACTGGGGGCGCGAAAAACCGACACAGCAATTCTAGAGGGGCAGCAAAACAGGTTTCCCCTTGGCAACAGTTCAGCCGACCCCAAACTTATGGTCCATTCGATGGTAGTTATGGTTCCTTGGACTCTTGAAAGCAGGTAGACGCAGCCTGCCGCAACGTTAGTGGAGTACTCTACTAAACCGACGAAGACCCTCGACTACCAACGACAGTGCTGCTCTGGGAGAGACAAAACTCGCGTAGACGCAGCATCAAACGTATGTGAAATTATCATCGCAAAGAGACTACTTTACCGTGGTGCTACGGTTTGTGGATTTCGGCGACTGTTGTGACTTGTTGAACGGCCGCGAAACTCTGTACTCCGCTCACTATGGCATATCAAAAGGCACGGTAGATTTGGACGGCCATTTCTGGAGACAAAGGAAGATTACTACAACTATATTTATAGGGTAATCTCAGGATGTTCCACAAGGTGGTGCTGGAAATCTTTGCGAGACGGCCAGAAGCGTCGAGCTAAAGATGCTTGATCCGGATTGGCTGGCATTCTGACCAATCAGGGCGTGGCTACGTTCGGTCCGTAGCCGCACGTGATCCATCCATCCAAATAAAGTGGACTTCACTTATGATGAACAGTTGGTCCATTACTGCGACCCAGCGAGCTACACTGGGACGTGTTCGTGCGACACTCACAGAGTCTCCCATACAGGAGGTCTGGTGAATAAAGTCCCCTGATCCTCGAGAATGGGATCGTGTGTGGCTATTTTTCCGTAAAAATTGTCAGATAATGCGACTTTGTAGTCAGACTTTTGGGTCTTTGGCCTCGATTGAGGGGCCTAGCCGTCGTCTTGTCTAGGTCTGGGTGCCCTGGCAGTATCCCAGACCACGCACATCCATGAACTGCGCATACACAAATAAACTCGTGCCACATCAGCTGAGTTGCTCCACTCGACGCATACAGCATGGTGGGAAAGCGAAGACAGGCTACTGCCGACGCCACCCTTCTTCCTCTTGCTGGTTCGATTTTAGGTGCAGTGCGCTGCGAAAACGACCTTCGGGATGCCATCAGAGGGAATAATCATTCGTTGGGCCATCCAGTGCACAAGCGACATAACAAGGACTCACAGAGCACCTTTCCAGTCCAAGAGCGTCAAAAAGTCCAATAAACCCAACGCAAAAAGCTGTTCACTGTAAGTCCTTGGACAACAACAAATGTAGTTACGCAAAAGGTGGTGTTTCAGGAGAAATAAGTTGCAGTCATCCAACTTTTCAACCGGGAGGGAGAAAATACTTCTTACTAAAGCGAAAGACTCTCACGGGGACATGGTATCTCTGCCGACGAAGAGCAGTTCTCGGACACATGAATGCAGGAAGTACACCAGCATAGCCTTGGTCTCAAACATGGCATACATTTATCAAATGTGCTAGCCACTCTAGTAGAGTACCTGTGAATCAACGGTGAACAGCGGTAATGTTCCTTGTGTCCCGACTACCCATGAGCACCGCGACTTATGTTTGTTTATTAAAACGCCTTTTTGTTTCCTTGTTGGTCGTTTCCCCCTGTTTTCTTTCTACTTAAGCTTTGCTTATTCTTCAGCAAATGATATTAATATTTTGTTGTCCGCCCGACATTGCTTGCAAGTCCACCTCGGTTGTATCTATTCTCGAGCGTCCACTCCAATGAAAAGGTGGACTGATCGGTAAACGGATCCGTGCACCGCACATGAGATAGACTTTAGCGAGATATGGTATAAACGGACGAAACCTCGCAATCTGGCTCCCCTGCGAAAACGAAACTCATTGGGGCGCCACCAAAAGAATTAATTATTGGTGCTGCCACCCAGTGTTCGGGGCCTCACAGAGACACCTTTGTGATCAAACCGCGCCAAAACACCGAAGAAACCAAACACACGAACGTATGCCTCAAACCTTTGATTAACTACAAATCAGGTCGTCCAAAAGATGGTATTGGAAGAGCTGCGGGTCTCGGTGGTCGAAATTTTCGCCCACATGCAGGAGAGCTCCTTCTCCCAATGGTAAAAATCCCGAGCATACCGGTTTCCTAGGGGCAAAGACCCTGTAAACGGAGAACGTCCCATGAAACCTCCGAGATAAGAAGCGAAAAAGCATGCCTCACATGCCTCTTCGGAGCCTTGGACCCAAACTCGACGCGCAACGATTGGGTTCGCTAGCCTCCCTGGTCACAAAACTCCCGGTTTCCAACCCCTGGAGCCAGCAGAGACAGTGTTGAAATGATTTTCCACAAACTGCCTCAGTCTCCGGAACAATTTTGGTGATATTTAACAGTCAGTTTACCTTGAACAGCCGTCCCTTGTCGCCCTCATAGAGTCCTGGCCCACACCAGATATCCCTGACGCGATCTCGATAGACGGCCACTGGTTTTGGAGCTGATTCAAAACGAGAGGGGGCCTGTGATTTTGATTTTTACTTACATGCGGCCATGTCAATCCCGATCGCCCTCTCTGTTACGACTTCCGCACCTTGCTGCAGTGCACTGTGGATCCGAATCCCGCAGTGCGGGTTCGATTCTCTCCTCCGTGTGGTCTACTGTTGTCCCTCAAATTCTCTATAAGATGAACAATTCCTCATACGAAAACTCGAGCAACTTTTCCCTAGCCTTCAACTCAGTCATCTCTGCTAGTAAGTGATATCGAGACTCCAAAGGCCTCCTGGATCGAGCTTCAGCGCGTCTGATCAAGTTGACTGTTCACAGCGGCGTTGATTTAAGTCGTTTGACAGAGGGCTTGGACTCAACACGTTGCAGCACCCACCAGATACCGTGCAGACCAACTACCATCCCTACTGGACCTCTCATCTCCAAAGATATATACTTCGTTGGTTAGGTAAGAATTAACGCCCCAATGGGAAAAATTAAAATAATATGTCTGTGGTAGCTTGAATATATTCTACGCTGCCCATGGCCTACACCGACGAGCGTAGTATTTTCTGCCTCCGTCAGAAGAAAGGCTCCACCGCACCAAAGCCCATTTCGTTAACCAAACAAAGAAGACACCTACCTGCTGCTCCCAGGAGTGGACACGAAAGTCTTCCTCGCCATGCACCACTTGTTAACTTGAAGCTGCTAGCAGTGTTTCGCAGCTCGGTGACTATTTCTCTGACACTTACTTTCTCTCCTGGTACTTTCTAACTCATGCTATAAATACCAGCTCATACAGTCATCTCGGGGTTTCACTCCCGTTAGCCCATATGCAACTGATTTTCCTAACCACACCACCACTCTGCGTGCTTATATGGGCCTTCACTACATCCATCTTACTTTAATATCACACGTTAGCAAACGCAACCCTTGGTCGCTAGTCTATTAATTACAAACCCATCTATATCATATTCCATATGCTCACTTGTTGTTATCACCCTAATCGCGGTAGACGTCAAGTTTTTCTTTCTATGTATATTGGTGCACATTATCCCATTTGATGTCCCCTCAAAATCACCATGCTTTACTAATGTCATCCCATCCCCTTATGTTCTCAAGCTTTGAACTTTGACAATAACTGGTTTGGACGGCCTGGTTGGCTGTTATCCATTCCACCCGGCCAAAGATCTTTGACCACAGGACTTTACTAATGTCATCCCATCCCCTTATGTTCTCAAGCTTTGAACTTTGACAATAACTGGTTTGGACGGCCTGGTTGGCTGTTATCCATTCCACCCGGCCAATGATCTTTGACCACAGGATCCCTAAACGGACCCATGAACCCTGCAGGGATCCCGCTGTTCAACGAACCGCGCAGCCAAGCCCGGTCACCTAAAATGTGACGCTTATCGGCTTTGCTAATCACTGAACATCGCCATCCCCACTTACGCTGTGCGTTCCCTGGCATGATGTTCGAGTTCCTCATTTTTCACCGTAACACTTTTCCTGTCACGTGTCAGGCAGGAAGCCATTTGTTTTTCCCTCTCCCGCTTTACGTTTTTGTCAGCCACCTTGAAACACTAACGACCCGATGTTACTTGATAGACGCGCAGTATCTGCACAGTGGACGCGAAATTTCGAGTTGTGACGTGTCCCTGAAGAATCAAAGCATTTGGCCATTTGGGTTCCGTGTACCAACCGGAACTTTTGTGTCTCATTTAAACAGTCCCGGCTCGCAGCGAGGCTTGGGAACTATTCCAATAGACTTTCTCGCCAGAGGTAGGATTGCTCCAGTGGGCAACGAAATGCGGTGAGCTGTAAAAATATGAATTGCAGAATAAAATGATTTTTGGTTTGAGCACATATGCAACAAAATGCAGCAATTTGGCGCCAAAAGTTGCAGTCCACTTGTAAAAGTTTTGCAGATGGAAACACTGTGCCATCAGTGGGTCCCGACCAGAAAAGAGTCAAAAAAGTGTCACATGTTTGAGGCGCATAGAACAAGGAAAGATGGACTGTCAGTGCAAACGAGAAAATAGCATGAAACAATTCAGCGATTTCACTCCAGGAGATCTTTGCTTCTCTGCGTCAAGTGTTTGCAATTGTATGCCTATAAAATAAGCAAACTTGACATCACGAAACGTATCCACATACCTGCCTTTCTTTACACTACTTTTTCTGGCTGCCCACATCACTCCTCCTAATGAAAGCTTGACAGTAATTGGACATTTGTGTTTTCGGAAACCTCGATTCAAACTTAACTGTAGTTTTGGATATGTATACATATTTAAGACTTTTCGCACTCGGGATATTAAGCTGCTTTCATCTTAGTTAATCATATGATTATGTATATATGACTCAGCAAAACAGTCATCCCATGAAGAAGCGTGATAACTGGGAAAGCCGGAAAGAAGTCGCTCGGATAAGATCCGCGAACCTGCAGGTTTGTTCCCAAGGTTATCTCACTCGGCCACCGTGCTACGAGCGGCCATTGGTGCAAGCCTCAGCTAAGCAGCTAGGCCTCGTATGTAGTAGTCGTATGTTTTGGTATGGATCGCGTGACTAAGACCAGCCAATCATCTTCTTCAGTTTGGCTTGTGGATGAATCGGCTACCGCATAGAGATTCTGGACATTCGCCTGCCCCGCAATCCGATGCTGACTTTCCCCCGCCTCAAGCGTGTTTTCGGTTTATGCTCTGTAACTCATGCAGACTTGTCATAAGAAATCATGGAACACAAATTACTACAGGAGCTTCGTTGTATGTTGCAACGCAAGCCATCCAGTACCGCTCCTCCTTCGGCCGTCGATGAGTTTCACTTGAGACTCCAGGAGATTTTCGGTGAGATAATAACAAGGTATCCTGGGTATGCGGTCGGTCAGAAACTGGAACTGGAGATGTGGAATACTCTATACAAGAACCAGATTGACGCGTTACAACACGCTGTAAGATATTTTATGTTCCTTCTTTCTTTGATTTATTGGTTAATCTTTCGATACACGAGTACAAGAATATTGCCCAGATAACATTGGTTGGAGGGATCATTAGTTGTCAATTGTCACGCTTCCCATAAAAGAGTAATATGAGGATCTGAGTGTAGTACAGCTCATTTTCTCGTGATGAAGTGAAAACAGCTCTATGGCCACTGAAACAGGCATATAGATTAGCCTCAAACGGCTCTTTAGGGCTGGTGGTGACGTGCGGGGTAGACGTGTCATCATACGAAGGTGCACGTCCTCGCGTTGAACAGCTTTTATGTCCCAACCTGTTGTCGTTGGAAGGCGAAGAATGATACAGTGGATAAAAATTAAATCTCCGCACAAACGTTTGGTATCCAATACGTAGAGATCAGGCAATTTCAGGCGCCTTCCGTAGTCCGTGAGCCGAAAACCTGCAGTCACCTTCGTGACTGTGCGCTGGACACGTTAAACACAATTAATGTTACTCCCTTATCTTTCACTTTTTTGCGTCTCACCTCCCATTAGTAACTTCCTTGAATGCCAGTCTGTTAGAATTTACGATCCCGTTATTCTCGCAGTGGTTTTGGGCGCAATACTTGCTCCTCAGTGGGCGCCGATAGCTCCAGGCATCCCAAATTCCATATTCAAGCTTTGAATCCCGGTTCATCTGATCCCCTTAACGTTCTCACTCCGAATCAACCAGGATAACAAGCCGCCCTTACGCACATGGGATTTGTTTGACATAAGTGTGTGAAGTATCAGAGACGAGAATTCGGGATGAAAGTACACTGGTTAGTTTAACTGTCCCATCACTTTCAACTCACTTCCGGCTGCGCGTTCAAGCATTCCAGAGGCAGCTGCGGCGGGATGTGGTGGGTCCGTATGGTCCCTATTCCTTCGGTGTAAGGTTGCTTGCCTGGATTCCCGTTAATAGTCGTGATTTGTCTGGCAATGTTTCTGAAGAAGCCTCACAAGAAGAAGTTAAGCATTCCAGAGGCAGCTGCGGCGGGATGTAGTGGGTCGGTATGGTCCCTATTCCTTCGGTGTAAGATTGCTTGCCTGGATTCCCGTAAATAGTCGTGGTTTGTCTGGCAATGTTTGTGAAGAAGCCTCACAAGGAGAAGTTGACTGATGCCTGTTTGCCGTGTCTGCTTATGCACCAACTGACTGTAGCCCTGACACTATCATGCACAATTTTTTGGCATATTGAGTTTCCCATTACGCTGGGCTGAAAACGCAGATATAAGTGTGATTGCCGGAAATCTGAATGCACAAGTGGGCAGATTTAGTGTGTATGGGACTCAATTTAAAAGTTTGACTTGGATTGGACTCCATACCTATGGACAGTAGTGGGCGATTGTTTCAGCTGTGTGCTGACTGCAGACTGCTTTGTACAGCACCAATTTATGAAAAGACCCAAATGGCTTATATTAATGTTAGTTGTCACTGGCGCTTATTTATGGCTGATTGTTGCACCGTAGATTCTGACTGTGTTCTTATGGAGTGGCTTCTCCGTTTTTCAGGACCGCATAACGGACGGGCAACTCGCTTACCAGCTGAAAGATTGTCAATTTCCGTGGTTAGGCGAATCTATCAGGTTTGGTTTCTGGACTCCCCTCTAACTGCTTCACTATCAGATGTGAATTTGGTTGAGACGAGATGGCCACACCCTTGCACACTGGTGGTAGTTATGTTTGTGGTAAGGCACTACCAGGTGCGTTCATGCACTGGATATCAAACAGAACAGTGGGACTGTCTAACCATCGGAGGAAAGTTCCTCTTGGTTCCGAACATAATTTAGCCCGGCAAATTACCAGACGTCAGGTCAAACTTATAATGTGCGCCGACCGTGAGTCCTGGTGGGCACGTAAGACTAATGGAATAGAAGAGGCCCGGAAAGTTGGGAATACCGGAAGATTGCATCACTTGCTCTGTGCGACCGGACCCTGGAAAACCTGTGGTCGAAACCATCATGGACCAAAATGGTATGACCATCATAAATAAAGAAAGACACCTCAACCGCTCGGCCATGCACTTTGAACAGCCATAATCATAGCCACCTGTTGTCACTCAGTTGGATCCTGAAAGTGCAGAAGAACGCTGCCCGTTGGACCTGGAACCACATACTTCGTCGGAGGTTTATGACTGCATATGTCCTCTTAAATGCCATAGAGCTCTTTGTCCAGGTGACCCATCCGCATTCCTCAAAGATGAAGGTGAAGTCCCCGTTCAGCGCTTTCTATTTGCTCCCATCTGAAGAAAGTGGACTGTCTCAGACGACTAGGAGGAGTCATTGATAATGCCCGTTTTCAAGAAAGGGTCTGTTGTAAGTGCGGCAGTCACAGAGGAGGGGTAATCTTCATCCTAGTCATTACGGGGCTCTTGGCATCACTTGTCCTTTGTCACCTTATGCTGGCTCGTGAAACATTGACTCGAGAGCAGCAAGCGGTCTTAGGTTTTGTAAGGGTGCCTTGACTAATTATTCACACTTCATGAGCTGATAGAATAACGTCATACGCATAAACGACCAACGATTTCGGTAGCTCGGGTGAGCTTAGTTGAGCTACCAATATTTCGACACATTACCGACCAACAATCCTAGTATTCCTGGATTTCCAAAATGCATTCGACTCAGTTGGGCGGTCTCTTCTCCGTAACGCGCTCGGTCAACAAGGAATGTCCCAGAAGTTTTCAATATGTTGATGTGGCTCGTGGTTAAGGCGCGAACTTATTGACGGGGAGACTTGTGATTGTACCCCAATCACAGCATCTTGTTTTTCCCTGCCTAGGCTTTGGTAACCCGGCGATATCTCAGCCCTCGTGTTTCCTTCGGATGGCGTGGTAGCCAAGCACCGAAAAATGGTGCAATGGCATATGTTAGTATGACATGTTGGTATTCTCAGACTTGTAAGCGTGTGAGAGTATAGTGGAAGCTCTCCAAAAGTTTCCGTGCACGAGGATTTTCATTCTATGTATTCCTTTTTAGTTTCGTATGAGGCAGGATAATGAGACGAACGCTGACGGATCTCCGAAACTCTATTGTTCGTATGGCTGCAGACGAAAACCTCGTTGAGCTGGAATATGTAGACGACATAGTTCTTGTCTTCAAAAAGTAGAAGACACAGGTGTTTTGGATTAACTTCGGCTTCGGCCTATTGGGGTTCTATCTGGCAGTTACCTGTGCAAAGGCATTTTGACACTGCGAAGGTTGCATACCATACTGTTTGGTCGGTCCTTGGTCTCACTCAGAGTGTCTTCTGGTCAAAACATGGCAATGCGAGCCCAGGCTCCATACGCTACTGCTTGTGGATGAGTGCGCCCCAAGAAGCCGAAGCCTGACTGTTAATCCCAATGCTGGTGTTTTCCTCAGGGTTATACGATATTTCAGAAGAAATCCATTTTCAGGCTAAAATTATTGGTTATCAGACATTCAAGGTAGTTAGGGAACAGCGATGTAGAATCTAGTCACCTGCCTTCAAGATCTCATTGAAGTGGTTTGCCGTACTTGCGGTTTATTTAGGAGAACAAATCACAGATTCAGGTTGTAGTGGTCTTCGAAATCACTGAATGTTCTGTCGTAATGGTCGTAAGCCGTGCTATTCTGTTATAGTATAATTTTCCATGTGATGAATTAATTAGTACTATTCTCTCTTATTTATCTAAACTACATTTAATCTTGCTTTGCCTTATTCCGGAAGTTCCACTTTCAACTTTGGACTTCTGGCTGACACCAGTGTTTTTCCCTCCTGACGATCTCTCCCCTTGGATCTACTGGCTTTTATGTTTGTCACTGTTGAGAGGGAGAACCATATTGGCGTGAATGTACTTGCTACTCTAGTTAGGTGTCACTCATGTAAGGGCGCAGGTGTAATCTTCGCCATCGTGGTACGAAGTAGGCGGGATGTCAAAAATGCGATACGTCGAGCTGCAGTTGACAAATTTTACTACCTATTTTCCAGCTACCTGAACTGAAAGTTTATTACTCGACCCAGAATCTGGGATTTGCAGTCGTATCTCCTCGGACACCGTCCTGCTGTTGAGAACCGGTTGGCGCATGTGATTGAACATGTTTTTTTCTGCTCTCAGTTTCCAATGACTATTCGAACTGACTGTTCGTTTTGTGTTTCTAGCTGTGGTTTGCTCCGTTTCCACTTACCCTTAGGTAATTTCCGCAATCTACCAGACGTGTTTTGCGTTCGCTACTGTTACTGCTAAACTTTTCTGCCAATATTGTCGCCTATAGTTGGGCCGGCGATCAACTGGAAATCCTGGGACGAACGCTCAAGGACAACCTCGTTCATCGATGGAATTGAAACTGCGCTTCGTCCTGTTACTCGATCGAGCATCTGGTGTCTACCTCACATTGGTTCAACGTCTTTTACACTCCCTTCCTGGTCTCTCCTGGCCAAAATCGGTAAGTACGGGCTCATACTAGGTTGTATCCCACCTCTATTGTCTGTTTTGTTGTACGTATATTGGAATGTGAACTCTTTTTTGGTTCTGGAAGCCAACCTTGCATGTGACACATACCTCTTGTTTCTCATTTTGATGTTTATGATGATCATTAGGGATGTCAGCGATAGACCTCACGAAGTCCATTAGAGATCGAAAACTACTAGCTTTGTCGGGGAGCGTAATGCTTTGTTTGAGATATCAGTGTCTCACTTGCTTTATGGGACTTTATCGCGGAAACGGATTCGGCCTCAAATACATTCCAGCTCACTTCCAATCCCTGGTAATCCAACCGTATTTCCGATCGTTGGGAACCTGGTTTTGAAAGTCATTCAGTATGGCAACACTATTCTGAACAAGATAGTCGGTCAGCACAGTTTGGATTGTTTTGAGTCTGCTTTGTGTCGAAACTCGTGTAGTCGGTTTATCTTGAAGGTTGTGTACAGTCCGAATGTTGTGGGCTAGATGAGATCAGTGCACGAATCTCTAAAGTTCGCGTTGCGTTTGCTAATTTGAGACACGTCTCGTGACGACACGGCATATTTCTGAACCCTAAGGGTATCGGGTTACAGTACGGTTTTTTGTATGGCTGTGGAACTTAGCATCTTCGAGCAGCGAAACTGATACATCTTCAGCTAATTATGAAAGTCATTACCAGCAAACTCAACTGCGCTGGCTATTTCCCTCTTCCTGGATAGAGACCCCGAGACGGGACACATAAGCGGTTAGGGATATCCTCGGACATTGCCCAGTCGCTTCCTCAATGCCATTCATGCATCCAAGCTGTTGCTTGCTGTTGCTTCCTCCTGGTCCAAATGAAAGATCAACTGACACTTCCACACTTTTGCATCAATTATATCAGCTACCGCCTCCAATGCATACCTATGCACCCCACCTCCACAATCCATAGACGAACAAAATTATGGCAGCGGCGATCACTGTACGACAAGTACGTGGTTCATAAAGCTGGTCATGTGAATCGTTGTCCCCGAAGCATAGCTCATGTAAGCGACTGCCAGCGGTTTCTCAACGGGACAGAAAGCGAATGTTCGGGTGTACAATAGAGACATCAGTGGAAGAACATACCAGTACCAAAAGCTGCGGTGGTTTGGTAATGTATTGGGCCGAAGATGGGATCATAAAAAGGTTGAGAATATCACCACTGCTCTACTGCTTTACGAGTGGATTGTCACCCTTGTATAACATGTAGTTCCCTTCGAATGGTGGCTGTTCACAGGGCTAAGTTGAATGGATACTTTCAAGGTATCGTAACCATAGTTGAGTCCGCATTCTTTTACGTCCAAACTGATGGTATTCGGGATTTTTATTTCATGTCTAGGATTACGGACGTCTTATTCGCGCACACGTACTTGCATATATATATATATATATATGTTTCTTGCGCTTGAAGTTTTCTGTTTTGTCGTCTGCAGTGCATTCTCAAGCCGACAAAACCCTGATTTTCGGTCACTCTTGAAGTATTTTCCAGATAACCGGATTGCTATTTCATAACATGGTTTCGTCAGCTACTAGTTTGTACCCTATCACTCTGCTCGCAAATGGTACCAAAGTAGTTCCGAAAAAAGGACATGAGGCCGCAGTCTACTCCAAATAGCGTAGTGGTTAGCGCGCAAATTTTCTGCCCGGAAGGTCCGTGGTTCGAATCTGACTTCTGCATTGTGATTTCTGTCTAGACTTGGGCGACCAGGCAGTATTCCAGCTAGACAGGGGAAGTCGAGTGGCGGAGGTCGGATTCGAACCGCGGACCTTCAGGTTAGTAATCCGCGCTCTAACCACTTCGGCCATCTCGCCCCTCTTGATGATGATGATGATGATTATATATAATGTATATATAAAAAACAGGGCAGGAGAACTGGAATTTCTTTCTTAGCCACAAGTGTGTCTGTCCAAGTGTAGTGTGCTACGTACACTCGACCAATGCTATTGCGCGTTAAATGTATAGCTACGCACAGTTTTTTTTGTATGTTGAACCTTACTATAACCAAGAAGTGTCTGTATTCAAGACAGCACTTTGTCCCGATTGTATGCACTGACTAGGAGAGTTAATCCATGGTTTTTCAAGAAAGGGACCGCAATGGTGTCATTGTCAACCGTTGGAGGGCGTACTTTGATATCACACGACCCCCTGTAAACAGATGGATTATGACAATATGATGTCAAAAAAGGAGGCGCAGTTTGCAACGGTTAAACATGTCAGCAATTCTCGTTTTTTTTCTCTAGAACCGCTTGGACAACAGTTGATCTACCAAAACTCTAGGGGATCGCAGAACACTCAGTTCCTTTTCATGAACCTGGGCATCGACATCAGAAGAAAAGATGTTGCTATTCCGCACATTCTTTTCATCAGTCTACATGGTCAATGAATTATGGTTAGACAGTAGACTGATTACTGGAATTGCGGGATTCAAGCGTGGATGTGAGGATATACAGCTTGCTCTGAAGACCTGAGTTGGACTTAACTTTGTTCTCGTGGTCAAGGCTGGCTTGTTGATGGTACCTCTCCTGACAGCAGCGTGAACGCCCTACTACCAACCGCCTGGCCTAACATGCCACACGTTGCGAGTCGTCTCAACTCCCATATCGTCTATTGTTGTGCCTCTAGCGTACACATGTTTCACAGTCACACACTTCTATTGACCGTTCCATTAAAAGAGTTCAAGAAGTTCCTTAATACATCTTTATTTCTCATGTAGTATGTGTGTAGGGTATCGTGACGGAGACCGAATCCAATTTCTATGATTCAAACTCGAGCCTCCCAACTGGCAGTATACGTTCTTACCCGCTCAATTACCTGGTCGTTCGACGGGTTATCTAGTATTCCTCAAGTTCAGCAAGTGTTTTCTTAATGGCAGACGTCACCTGAAAACGTTTTGATGACAAACTTGTGTCTTCTTCAAAGCCGTGTGTTTTGTTTTCACATTCAGCTTTCTTTGGATGTTTGTCCAAGGAGATTACTTTGCTGTGTCGTTGCACCACCTGAGAATTCCAGCTTTTTCCACTAGGACGTCCGTCCGTATGCTTCTTGTGATGTACCACCGAGCAGTTTGGAAATTTTTCAACCAGCTCTGAAAATTCTCACAGCTAAACCTTTAGAATCAATCTTCACTTAGTAGTCAATCCGTTCTGTTCAAATCGCACTCCTTCGCCTAGAACTGTCCTGCCTTTCTCTGCACACATATCATGAAGCTGGATTCTAAATTCAGTCATTTTTCAAATGTGTCTGTATGTGGTCTTAGAATGCAACTTCTGAGTTTGCTTTGCTTCACTTCCCTTGCGAATTGGCCTCATGGTTTCTATGCATAAGTATTTTAAGCACGTGTCAGGAAGAAAAAGTAGTTTTCTTTGATTTCGCATACCACACCACCAGTAGAATTGTTTTTACCTCATTGTCACCGTCTGTCCTGCTGTTTGTTTTCCAAGATCCTAAGTGCCACCACGTCACTTGCAGCGCCCGCAGGCCTATTCAGCTACGGTCAACTTGGACGAACTTGCGGTAGGTTCGACTTGGATTTGGCCACTTTCAGCGCGCTGCATCGCATCTCAGCCACAGTGTACAGTAATTCACGTTGGTTGGAAAGGCGCACCGAAGTGGATTCTGCCACCCCGTCCAATCCCGCACCGCGTATCCTATCTCGTGGAGATCGTTTACCAGCCGTTCAGTCTCATCCACAACAGGGCACGACCGATGCTGTTGAAGAATCTCCGCCTTCATTCAGTGTGGATGGTTTCCCGCCTCGACCATCCGAAGAGTCACAGCCTACTGAGCTGGACTCACCTGTTTCCACTATAGATCATTCGATTGCAGTGAATTATCTCGTGCAACACTGTCTTGTTCACTTGGGTGATATTGCCAGGTAATTTTTTTGGATGTAAAATTGTTGTGTCTTGCTGAACGGAAGTGCAACTCTGTATCGGTCCCTTGGCTTCCTGCTCCGCCCACTATGGTAAATCAAAAGCACCGTAGCTCTACACGGTCCTTTATGGAGGCAAAGGAAAATTATTACAACTATATTTATAGGGTAATCACAGAGTGTTCCACCGTGAGGGGGCGAGAAGCGTCGAGTCAAAAGTGCTTGACTCAGATTGGCTGGCATTCTGACCAATCAGGGTATGCCTTCGTTTGGCCCGTGTCCTGCACGTGACATCTGTCCAAATGATGTGGTATTCGGTTATTAGGGACGGCTGGTCTCCCTACAAAAACGTCCCGTTCGTTTGATACATCGCGTTCAATTTTTGGGAGATTGACCTAAATTATCATTTCAATTGTATACGTTTTTTTGCACTTTAAATAAGCTTGGGCCCCTTACTTTTGGTCCTCAGATTTTTGTGCTGTTCACTGTCCACCCATCTTGCACAAACCCCATCCGACGCATTGTGAACACTTCGGAGTACTGGCTCAGTCGACTCAGTCGGTCAAATTGCAGTTGCACTCACCGCTCTTGTCTTTGTGTAGTTTATAACCCTCAACCACAATGCTTCCGGTTGGCACAGCTGTTTTGATTCATTAACAATAGAAAATGAACGGATGGGTACAGGACTTCCAGCGTGAAGCTCATACTCGTTTAGTATGGGTCGAATTGGTTAAAGGCTATTCGGGTCTAGACACTAAAACAATCTCACTTCGAATTGGGGACTCTGGATAACCATGCATTGAGGCTGATTTCGGAGAGCTGCTATCTATGACTGTGTTGTTTTTTTCAAGCTTGCAAACCATCTGTGTTCCACCCTGAGATCTTCATCCCCGAAGCGCACACCAAGTGCCAGCGCGACTCAGTTCCTTGGTTTAGACTTTAATGCTTCTCTGTCCGCTCGTGGGTGTTTTCCACGCAACACAACTTAATGAGACGGACATTGTAGCATAACGATCCTGTCACATGCAGTGTCCAAAGCTGTCTTTTATAATGGAAAACGCGTGACTTCTTTGTCTGACTAACACTGACTGCCGATTCGATATTTGCATCGGATTCTGGTAACTTCTTCGGATACATTGATCGGAGCAAGATCGCCCAATTGGTTAGAGCGATAATATACTGACCGGAAGGTCCTTGGTTCGAACCCGACCTCTACCCCCTCGACTTCCCTGTCTAGGCTTGGGCAGGCTGGCAGTATCCCAACCCTCGTGCCTCCCTCGTGTGGCATGGTAGTTAGGTACTGAAAGGTGCCACAGCTGAACGATTTTTTTGTCCGCTCGTGGGACTTTTCCACGCGATACAACCTAATGAGAGGGGCATTGTAGCATAACGATCCTGTCACATGGCCAAAACACTCGTTTCATAGGGAAATTGCGTGACTTCTTTGTCTGATGAACACTGACTGCCGATTCGATATTTGCATCAGATTCTGGCAACATCTTTGAATACACTGATAGGAAAGACTGCGCAGTGACGGAGGGATGCTTTGGTGGTGGTATTCCCAGACGTTTGCAGGCTTGTGCCACAGGCATTGCTTTCTGTCACCAACGCTGTGGTGTTTCTAATATGACAAACGAATTTCTTTTCCGTCAACCGACCAGAAGCATATCAGTGGGATTATCCAAGGCACAATCGCTCCATAGGAACGATTGGTTGTGAAACGTCTGCAGTCAAAATGCCCAGCTCAGCGAACAAACTAGCGTCCGTCTACACTACCTGAGCCACCAACATTCTTCTCTATAACAAGTGTTCAAACACTCGGTCGCCGCGTTTGCTTGCAGTAGCCTTATGTTTGATCGCACTTAACTGGCAGCTGACGTGTTAAAACATTTAGGTTGGTTGAGCGTTTGCATAGAATCCAACTCAAGAATGGTCTGTAAACGGACACCTGAAATGCATCCGGAATCTAGCAGCGGAACTAATACGTCTTCACGTGTTCGACAATCGTTGTCTCAGAACCACAGCTCGTGTGGGTTGGTGTTGGCGAGTCCGTAACTAGGCAGTTAGAAAGCGCGTTTTCGGTTGTGAAACGGGTACTACCATTGAAGAATGTGTCCAGCACCAAAAGCTGCGTTGGTTGGGACATGTGTTACGTATGCCGAACTATCGTTTGCCGAAGAGAGTACTGTTTTCCATGCCCAATTCGGAGTGGCGTAAACAGAGAGGTGGCCAACCCTTGACTTGGCAGAGGAGTATGAAGGAGATCACGAAACGCTTGGGTGCTGTCGGTGCTACTCGCCTTCCAGGGTGGGGACCGCGTGATCCTCACTGTGCCTGGTTGGAGACACTACAAGATATGGCTGCCAACCGATGTCGGTGGCGTTCCTGTTGTCAGTTTCTATCCAGATTGCCTGAGTGAATGTCTGGAGGTGTAGGCACCTCGGAATGATTGCGTTAAGCTAGCACCAAATCCCTTCCCCGTCCACCTTTATTCTTTTCTTTATAATAAGGCTTTCAAATAAGTCATGGTTGTACGACAGTGAAGCATCGGTGTTGAACACTGATGTCATGCTGTCGGTGATGAATGATGATGATGATGATCCAGATGTCCAAACCGTAGGCAACTAAAACCCAATCATCCCATCAGTAAAATTGTGTTACAAGGAATAGGGCAGAAGGGCTACTTTGACAACACGTGATTTGATGAACCAAGATGAATTAGTTCTTTGTCACGTGCTTTCGAAAGATGTCAACCTCCTCTGTCATGATGCATGATGACGTTCGAAATCGGTAGGAGGAGCTATCTTCTGTTAGTTGGAGGATGGCTACGCTGTATTTGTCTTTTCAAGGGCACACCTTAGCCCGATTCTTCCAGAAAGCTTGCTAATCTCGCAAGAAACCGCATTACCTCGACGCCACAGCTGTTTTCCCGAGATATCCTAGCCGCGTTCATGGAATTACGACCGTTAATTTCGTGTTCATTGCTACACACTTAGTCAAGATTACTTATTTGTCGATTCTCATTTTCCCACCACTTCAGATACCGACAACAGTTGAATGTCGCCGCCGGTTATTATATTTGGGGATGGATTGTCCATCCTGACTCTGGTCACCCTTTCAATCAGTTGGCAATTCTCGAATCATCTAAGGTGAGTTGAAAGTATTCACTCCACCAATTTATTGTAATATCTGCTTCGCATCAGTAAGTGGTGTGGCAAAATTGCACTGACCCATCACTGTTTAAGACCTAGTTGATCAGATTTATCCTGATCACTAGAAGTGGTTAGAGCGCGAATTTTTTGACTGGAAGGCCCGTGGTTCGAACCTGACCTATGCCTCTCGACTTCCTCTGTCTAGACTTGGGCAATCTGGCAGTATCCCAGCCCTCGTGCTTTCTTTGGGTGGCATGACAACTGGGTGCCGAAACTGTTACAGTTGAACGATTTCATCACTACGAGAAGTAAAATTAGTCTCTTGTAGACCGTGATTTGACGTTGAACTTTAAGCATAATTCAGCGTGTGCCTACCCCATCCATAAGCCACCTTTTGTGGAAATCCGTGTTCCAGCTGGTTATTCATCCGTTATAAGCTGGAAAGCCTTCCTATCCATCCACAACAGAGACCAAGTCTACCGTGTTGCGTCAAGGCCCCAGCAACCAGCTCGTTTACTACTCACAATTTGCCAATAGTTTGTTTGTCATGTATCTTCGTCAGGCTCTTCCGTAGATGTGCTGTCCTACGTTTCCTTCGTTGCCTGCCCAGTTTTAGGTTATCTCAGCGCGTCTGCACAGTGTGTCCACGTGAAACGAGCAACGCCCGCCCGCCTTTGCATGACGATTGCTCATCTGGGATGGAGTCAATTCTCATTAGTTGGTGGAAACACTGCGCGGGATATTTCGATGAATACGCGCTTATCTTGGACACATGACATGTCATTAGTCCACGACGAAACCATTGAGCGAAGCGCTTATTAATGACAGTCGTCATATCTATCGATTGACAATATATTCAAGTCTGGATTTCGTTTGGAAGCTGAATACACTGAAGTATCCTCGTTCTAGGCTTATTTACGTTCACTTGCTCCTGGTATAACAACCGAACGTTCGGTTCAAATGATCCCTCAGAAACAGGCACTTGTAATGAAGAGTACCACGTATACAAAACTGTGCCTTCTGCTCCAAAATCAGGTTTATAAGAAGGCCAGAAATGCACTTTCATTTAAAAAGGTATTGTTTTGAAAAAAAAATCAAGTTTCGAGGAAAATTTAAGGAAATTAGATTCCTTCAAAAAGGAGAAGGTAGTTACCACTAACACCGAAGCACTATTCTTATTCCTACCGGATGAAATAACGCTGCTTCGCCTCTTAATCTATTGATTTATTGATTCACTAACTAATTTCACATGTCACCAATTTCGCTCCCATCTGCGGTGGTTGAGCACCACAGAGTGTTTCGCTGACTAGTTAATTAAATTCGCGTGCAGCTGTTTTCCTACCCATCACTCTCTACCTCCTGAAATGGCGGATCTTCACCATCATGGACATTATCTTTGCTGGCTTCATTCAACAGCTTGTCCATATACGTCAGGAAGATCAACTTATTGGTTGCTCTAAGTGTGCGACACCTCTCAAATGAGCAAGGAGTTTTTTTTTCTGTCTGCTGCAAGCTACCCTTTGGAGTCCTTTTTTAGATGGATCTATGAATGATTATCACTAGACACGACAATGGTTAATGAATTTTCACAGATGGATGTTATTTCAGTACTTTGCCTCATCGGTGCGTTACTCTATGGATAAAGGGAAATCCAGAAGGGAGGCCATTCTCCGGGTAGGTCTATGGCGAGGTTTCCATCAGCCGAATACCGGCAGTATGCGGTATCGCTTTAGAGGAATGACACCACAAGTGGACGTCAACTAGAGTCGAATACAAAGCAAAACTAATTGATTAATTTGGTAACTGTTTTTGCTCCTATTTGACTTGTCAAGAACGTTCCCCATCAAATGAACTCATGAAGGCCTTACAGGAGCTGAAGAGAATTCAGTGTATCATTACACTGAAGCTAGGCAAGGGATCCGGCGCTGTTATCGTAGACAGATAGCACTACGCATCCAAAAGGAGTTCAGTTTTACCGTCCAAATTTTTATCCGGTAAGCAACGGGACAAGGCGCGGCTGGTGTAGAAACAAATTACTCGTGGGCGAGATGGCCCAAGTGGTTAGAGCGCGAAGTTACTGACCGGAAGGTCCGTGGTTCGAATCCGACCTCCGCCACTCGACTTCCCCTGTCTAGGCTTGGGCAACCTGGCAGTATCCTAGCCCTCGTGCTTCCTTCGAGTGGCATGGCAGCTAGGCACCGGAAGGGTGCTACAGCTGAACGCTTTCTTCTTTCTATTATCTCTTCGAGTGAGTTCACTGCGCTTAAACCTCTCAGCGCACTTATACACCTAAGCTTTCTTGACTGTCAAACGCAATGTACCCTACGAATGGTTCACCCTGTCGTCAACTAGCTAACTGGCTGGTAGATATTCTCCTACCCTGGATACCTATTCTCACAAGAGACTGTTTGAAAAGCACTGAAGAACTTTTCACCTTCCTAGGATGCTTTGGTATCTCTCAGAAAATCATGTGTTCATTTGATTTGCGGTCACTCCTTACCAGCGTATCCCCTATAGAAACTCCGTTTTGTAGGCGATTGTCTGGAATGTCACCCAGGTCTCGTCGAGGTTTCGATCCCCATTCGTAAGGACTTCATTAGATGATGTCCTAGGAATGTCAGGTTTTACTTCCGAGGGACCATTTGTAAGTGAGTTCACTGTGTCGTAATGGGAGCCATTTGGGACCAACCCTAGCAGACAATTATGACATCCAGCAGAAGCCGATACAAAACAAGCACCTTTGTATGAGCGGTACGTAGATGATGTTTCGTTCATCACGAATAAGGAGAGACAGGCTCAAAACCTGCTGTTTGTTCCAAACACTCCAACAGAACATTTTGTTTACTTGTGAGTTTGAGCGCGCCAACTAGGCTTGTTTTCCAGATGTTCTGATCACCAGAACTACGGATGATACTGTGTCTTGCTCTGTGTATTGGAAACTAAAGTGGATTTGGCATTACTTAAACTTTACGAGTTTCTCTCCGTTACGTACAAACTTGCGTTGGCGCTGAATTTATTCCATGGAGCTGGACAGATTCGCACCTCGGATACACTTGATGGTGAAACCAAATTGCCGATAAGTGTGCTGCGATCATATAACTATCCTGACCACTTCATCGAAAAGCACCTGGTCCGAGTGATGAACTGATCACCAGAACTACGGATGATACTGTGTCTTGCTCTGTGTATTGGAAACTAAAGTGGATTTGGCATTATCTAAACTTTGCGAGTTTCTCTCCGTTACGTACAAACTTGCGTTGGCGCTGAATTTATTCCATGGAGCTGGACAGATTCGCACCTCGTATACACTTGATGGTGAAACCAAATTGCCGATAAGTGTGCTGCGATCATATAACTATCCTGACCACTTCATCGAAAAGCACCTGGCTCCGAGTGATGAACCGAAAATTACCGGAAAGAAACATCTGGTGATCATGCTTTCGGCCTGGTTAGACGAACGACTGACCAGCACAGCTGTATTTCAAAAGGATGTACGCGGGCTGTCACTGCCGTCAACCAGTACGCCAATTTTAGCTTTATCTACGACTCATTACACTTATCAATTCACCCGCAGTCGTGATGACAAGTATATCGGTTAAACTGACAGAAGGCTCGAAAGGCGAGCAAGGAAGCAGGTACCCAGAAAGCCCTATGCCATATCAGCTAACCCTAACTCAAGGCTGATCGAATCCAAGGTCAAATCATCGATCGTCAGGGAGCTAATCGACACAGGTCAGTGGTGTACTTAAGCCGTCGTTCCGAGTCTTAGAACGAAGCAGGTAGTCACATCGGTTGAAGTTCCTTGAAGCCATATTGATCAGCCGTTCTAAGCTTGTTCCTGGAGCCCAGAAAGACCCAAGCAGCATTTTAAAGCTGTCTCAGTTTTCAATGATCGACCACATTGCTTCAGAATTGTATAGATTTTGTAAGCTACATTGTACTATGTTCTGCTTTGCACGTATTGCGTCCTAAGGCAATGTACAAAATGAATTTATCCCGCAATCCTGTCGTTCTCACTGCCTCGTTCAAACTGACCAGGGGATCACCGTGTTTAACTGCAGCATTCCTGTTGTACAAAGATTATTCACCTCAACGGTTTTAATGTAGAGCGCTGGTCCTTCTTGGAGGGCACATATCTCATCAACTGTGGCAAGGAGCAACTATATGTACGTATGGTAATGTGAGCAGATTTCCAATTGAAATTTCATCCTACCAGTCACGTCGGGCTCACCAATTTGTTAGTGCTATTGTCTGTAATATCAGAAGGTGAATAACACTAACCATAAACAGTTATGTATAGTGGTTACCAGAGACACTAGTACAACTGAATAATACACAAAAAGGAATAAGAGGCTTATTGAGTTCTTCGTTTGATAAGTTGTAGTAGACGCAGCCGAGGTTTGTAGGACGCAGTGGAATTGAATGCGGGCCTTGACGGAGTGTTTTGGAATCTGGCCTGTATCTTGTCGTATAATCCAAGACGATATCGAGCCCAGACTTTTCCTGCACAGTGAGTCGTGCGTAGGTTTGAAACTCTGGTCAAAGCGCTGTGTGAAGTGACGAGCGTCGGCATCCTGCTGTTCCGCACATATATAAGTTTACGTTGTGAGTGAGGATGCGCGTGCGTTGTTCGTCTTAGGATAAGATTCCAATCTTCTCGGTTAGTCATGGGTCTAATGTTCATGACATAATCAAGACAGGAGTGAAACAGTGGGTGTGAATGCGTTAGACAAATTATGTGAGTGGTTGAAGGTAAACATTGATGAGGTAGTAACGGAACTGTGAAAGCGGTTGAAGATAAAGGTTGACGAGGTGGCAACCAAACTCTGGTAAAGCAGTTGAAGATGAACGTTGAAGGGATGGTAACCAACAAATACTGTGGTAAAGTGGTTGAAGATAAACGGTAACGGGATGGTAACCAACAAGGCTAATCTATGCTGAAAAGCCGAGAAGCACTGTATTGTACTGTTTCATCCCTATCTGGAACGATCAACAGTGCGCATCTCCCGAAACTCAGACAATTTCAAACCCGCCACTTTGCAGCCCGTGTTGAACTTAACCGTTCGGCCACGAACGAATAAACTGCAGTGCAGTTATCTCTAACAGCATATAGCGTTACTCATGTTTCAATCACAGACACCACATTACCTGGTCACGTATTGAGTGGCTCCTTGAATGACGACACTGTCTAAGTGAGAGCGAATCAACCGTCCAGCTGTCCAACTGTTGTGTTTGGCCACTGGCACTACTGATGATTCCCAGTATGGATGAAACAGCCTTTCAACACATTGACTTCACTGTTAGGACGAAATCTCATTCGCAAATTGCCAATTCTCCTCACAATAGCGTGGCTTAGAGTTAGGTGAGACTTCCGTCTCAGAAGCCTTCATTCAACTTTTTATCATGGTAATGTCGTGGCAATCTGTAAGTCCTGCAGTACAACGGATCGTCTTTGTCGTCCCTCGACACCCCCCCCCCCCCCCCCGTCCAGTGAGCCACTGTTTTACCAACCAGAGATCTGCATTCAATCCAAAACGTGCGTAGTTGATTTCATCCCAAAACAGCTTCATTTTCTCAAACATCAGGGGTTAGAAAATGTCTCTGTGTATGTTCCAACCAAAGGAAGAGTTCACTACAACATTTTTATAATGGCATTTCGTTACATTCGGTTGTAGCAGACTGGGGGCTGTACAATGAGCGCAGACTGGTCTACAATGTCATCATGGCCGGTCCTATGTGACTAGGTGTGCCCGCAATGTCCTCAAACCAATCATGGTGCTTTAAAGCGCAAGACGCTTTGACGTACTCTTGTATTCATCACCACTCACTTAGACAATGAGATCCCGATAAACTGACATCTGACACTCTCCGCCAAAACCTCGAATTTGTCACATTTCATTTTGCTGGATTTTTTCCCTATAGATTGGAGACTGTTGTATTCACGAGATGTCTTTGTTTGGGTTCTTTTGCCCATTGATGGACAAGTTGTTTTATCGATGCTGTCTAAAGTTGGATTACGCCCACCTACCTCAGTTAGTTGGAGACTGTTGTATTCACGAGATGTCTTGGTTTGGGTTCTTTTGTCCATTGATGGACAAGTCTTTTATCGATGCTGTGTAAAGTTGGATTACGCCCACATACCTCAGTTAACTGTTTGACAATTGATGACACCGATGTGCACAGCATGCCTCGGACTGGTACCCTAATTCAGGGCTTTGGATCTCCCTATCTTTGATCTTTGATCTCCCGATGCTTTTGAATGCTTTCAACTCTCACTCTGGGGGGACCGCCGGATAGAATAGATCACTAGTGTTTGGTTTATACTTCAGTAGTAAACTTCGCACCGTACGAAATTATTGTTAACCGGTCTGTTAATATGCTCTCCCCCGGCGACAGACCTAGTCATGGGTGTTTCAGACCGGTGGTTTTCTATTTCAGATAGCTCAACTGGTTGGAGCACGAATTTACCAACCGAAAGGTCCGTGGTTCGAACCCGAACTCTGCCTCTCGACTTCCCCTGTCTAGGCTGGGCAACCTGGTAGTATCCCAGCTCTCGTGCTTCCTTCGGGTGGCATGGCAGGTAGGCACCGAAAGGGTGCTGCAGCTGGACGATTTTTTTGCTCTGAGACCGTTCTACTCTCTATTTTCGGTGTCGCATTTCCCTCACATTGCCTTGGTTGTCTGACCGTTGCGCACTGAAGTTCTCCATTGGTGTTACGATTCCTGAGAATCTAAACCATGAGTAAAAGTACCCGTTAAACAGGCAATCTAACTCCAACCAAAATAGGAATCCCTGTGCTGCAACTTGGTTTTTCACGTGACTCATCACCTCTTTGCATACGCGCTATTTACTGCCGCTTCCATCGGTGTGTTTCTTCACACTTTGCCACATTTCTTCTCTATTATTTTGGTTCAAGGGAGCGAAGAAACGATCAGATACTCTGTTTTACTACTACGTTCGTGCCATAGCCTGTGAGTATCCTTTCCCGGCAGCATCCACTAATCTGACGAGTATGTTACGTGGCGCGTTATCTTGTTCGAATCACACAAAGCTCTCCGAATCTTTGGACGACAATTCGACATCAGTGGTTCAGTGGAAGAAGGACCCACGTCAACTTTTGTTCTATTTCTTCGCGGCTCTCCAACTTTGTTCAGGTAAATTTCTTGCGATGATAGTCTTTTTTTGTTCGATGCGGAAATCTTTTAAAACGCCGCATCTGCGCAGATGCCCTGTTTGCTTAGGAAAGCTTTTCGTGAATTGAATACATGACAACTTACCTACCTGAACTTATCTCTTAGTTTCATGACCACATCTCAAGATTGTAGACTCATCAGTTTTGTGCACTGTCAACCTACACTTTTCTTTGCAGATGCATCTAGGTTGGTTTCTCTTGCAAACGAATTTTCGAACGCCATCAATTGTTCTTATCAAGACAGCTGGACTGCTTCAGACAGCCAATCGCTGATGCGATTAGTTACTCTGCATATCTATCTTCTGATGGAACATTCCATGGATTCAAAGGTAATTTTTGTTGTTGCATTCTTTAGATTTCACCGAGGGAATAACAGAACTTGAGACCAAAGAACTGTGATATGGATGAACCAGGTTGTCTGATATGTTGACTAGTTCTTAGTGGGTGAAAGCACAGTGGGAGCCATAGAATGATTTGGAGAACCGTTTTTAGCTAGGCACAATAACCTGATCACGCCTTGCTGAGTTTCGCCCACCACACAGAGTCGTGAGTGTTGTTTCGTCATTCCAGCCAGACAATAACCCTTTTGAGAGGGTGATCTAAACTACTTTATTCTGAAAACAGTTGTTCATCAACCTGAGACAACTGGTTTTGTTGTCGTTCGGCATTCTCATAGCATATTGTGGACAACTTTCTTGAAAAAAAAACTGATGACCTGTGACTAGTGAGTCGTTTGAAAGGGAGCTAATAGTTCCGGAAGTGGTGATGCGACTGTGGTAGCGTTATACCCATTGGTGTATAAACACCAGTGGGATTTGCTAAGTTTAATTTACATACTTTGGGATTCACCTTATCAGACTGGCACTGTCTTTGGCATGATTTCGAATGAGACGTTTCTCTCTTTTCTCCTACATTCTCCTGTTACTCTTTCGCATTCATCGCTTGCATTCATTTTTTATGTTTGTGACCATGCTCTTCAAAAATAAATGATAGTAGATAGTCTGTCGTTTTTGGGTACTGAATCGTTCACGGTATCAGGAACGTCAATATTTAGAGCATCCATCCAGTGTATGTAGTTGTCTAAAACGTATACCCAAGTTATTCGTTATTCCAGTGTGATTTGCGTTAGCAATCTCCACATACCGTTCTTGTTTCTTCTTTGCTGTGAATCACTGTTGCCGTTCTTGAGTTTCCCAAGTAAATCGAGGTTTATACCACATGCCCTTGGTAACTGTTCTTTCCTCTCCCCCAACCTTGTTTTTCCTTTCATCGCAATCGTCAGTCGACAGCCAAATCGGAGATTGGCCGAACGTTGTTGCTTCACTGTACGGTCCGTTTGTGTGACTGGATAGCGCGTCAGTACGTCGCCCATAATCAAGAGCCCAAACAATGCCAGAGTTCCATCCGACACAATCTACTGGCAAGCCTTAGTCTAATATTTCTGTGGCTGCGACAGCAAGCCTGCACACACCCAGTTTCCTTAGGTGAGTTTTATTTCCACCCCTCGTTGGTGATTATCACATCCAGTTTGGAATTCATGCAGCATCTTCAATTTCACCCACCCTCTATGGCCACATAAGAAACCATGAAGTGTTAGCAGATAAGTCTCTCCGAGTTGGTGACACTGCTTACATAATGTAGTTGAGGCACTGCCCTATTGTTTTCTACCTTCGCTCCTCAAAGTTGCCATAGAGGCAAATGGATATACACGATGCGGGCAGTTGTTCAAGTCTCTGGACGCGTTATCAATCACAGAGGGTTGCTCTGGAAACAATTTCTGGGAATCCCTAACTGTCTCCTGGATGAGGTCTTTCGTCGCAGGCGGGGGGAGCAATCAGAATCGTATGAAGCGCTTTTTGAACCAGAGTTAGGGTCCTCAGCATGTTTACAATCAGACAGAATTTCCATTTCGTCTGAAGCACATGTTCAATACTCTCGCATATCCGTAACTCTCTCTCTCACACACACACCAAGACAGCGTGGTGAAGCTGTATAACAGTCGTCATCTCTTATCATCTAGACAGCTGTGAATAAATGCTTCTTCCGATTGGGTAGACTTCACTAAATGCCATCAAACAATGTATTTGGTGGTAATGGAAGTTTCCGTTATAGTAATTGTATTGCATAACAAAGAAAACAATTAGAAACATCATAAACGAGAGATTTTGGGGCGAGATGGCCTAAGTGGTTAGAGCGCGAATTTACTGACCGGAAGGTCCGTGGTTCGAATCCGACCTCTGTATCTCGGCTTACCCTGTCTAGGCTTGGGCAACCTGGCAGTATCCCAGCCCTCGTGCTTCCTTCGGGTGGCATGGCAGCTAGGCACCGGAAGGGTGCTACAGCTGAATGCTTTCTTTCAAACGAGAGATTTAGTTGGGTTCCAGGTGAGTCTCACATCAAAACCAAATTCATATATAGATGAGTGTGCTTCGCTAAAAACAACGGTTCTTATTAGGGACCCTGTAACTGTTCATTTTTCAATGCATTGTTTCATCCTGTCCCAAAACTGTGCGTGGTGTCGTGTGCCTATCCAAGACCTAATTACCCACTAGATTTAGTTCAGTCCATTCATGAATAAATCACTAATGTGGTAGGTTAGGGTATCAGCAGTGTTTGTTCTAGTATTTTCCGGAGTCCTGAACTTCACGACCCAGCGAAATCATCCATCTGGTTGGCTGAATCCGAATGGACAGAATGGCCTTACGGTATTGTGGCCTGACGTGAGTTCTGAAATCACACACCAAATAAATAAACAAGCTGCATGAGCAACGAAGCACAGTGGAACCGCGAATCGATGAGGGGCCAGATGGCCCAAGCGCGAATTTACTGACCGGAGGGTCCGTGGTTCGAACCCGACCTCTGCCTCTCGACTTCCCCTGTCTAGGCTTGGGCAACCTGGCAGTATTTCAGCCCTCGTGCAACTTTCGGGTGGCAGGGTAGTTAGGCACCGAAAGCGTGTCACAGCTGAACGGAATCGATGATTATAAAGGTAATAAAACGTATAGTATGTAATTCAGTCCACACCTATTGCTGTGGCGTGCAGAAATGGGTACAGCACAGGAGTGACCATATGGATGCAATATGAATGAATGCTACACTAGCCCCGGAGACGAGTAGCGGAAGAAAATGTCTGTCGTAAAAACGATCCAGTTAGGTTGTCCAGGCCGTGGGCACAGTAATCCTATATTTTTGAGCACCCCTAACAAACGATCGACTCACGGACGAATCCAAAATCCCAGACATTGGTCCCCCTGACAACCGTATTTGACCACTGCACCCTCGGGGGGGTGTAATCAGGCAACAGGCCCAAGTTCGCTACTCATTTTTCCATCTCCCACTGCCGCTTATAAACAGCGTTAAGAGAAGACGGATGTTTTTTTTAAAATGCACGTTTCACGATCATCGCATAAACTTAACGACTTTCCGTGGTGTCCAAGTCCATTCCGCCTGATTATCATTGTTATAAAGAAGGCATTCCAATGGTAGAATGGCTGAGTGTTTTAATTCGAGTCGACTTTAGCTACAAAAGGTCGTTGGTCATCTAAGATTTCAACTCTTAAATTGAAATAAACTTATGGCACAGCTGCTTCCCTTCGTTGATATCACAGGAACCGACAGTGTTCGGTTCACACTATGAGCTTCCTACCTCAGCCTGCACAATTCTCTCACTAACGTTGGAAGCCGGCTCCAGTTCTGCAATCGATAATCATTCAGAAAACAGAGTGTAACGAGCAAACGGTATCTTCGAGTGACGCGTAATACGAGAACCTCCGGGAAGGCCAAACAAAGCCGGAGCTGGGTTTCCTTACGATAGTGCTAATGCAAGACATAAATTCACAAATTATACAAACCTCGACAGTTGATACTCGTCCAAAACAAATGGTCCACTTGGACTACAAAAGTACGAACCAACTGAGCAAAAAGGCCCCCAAGTCAGGCAGTCAAACGTGCACAAAGCCGGCCACAAATGGCTGGATGACCTCAAGGCCAAGCGAGTGAAGTGGTAAAGACAAACAAACGCCAGTTCATATGCACGCACTAAACAAAAAAATGGAACTAGGGACAGAATAAATGTGGGGAATTTCAAATGTCAACGTAATGGACGATTGACGAAGGGAGGAATATTCACCGTGATTGTTCTGTACACGTATCTTAGCGAAATAGCCAAGTGATCATCGGTTTCAGGTCAGCCTATGGTCTATACTTGGAAGACGAAAGCGGAGACGAGTTTGTATCCATCACACCCGTAGTCATGATAACAGTCCAATCGGCCTTGCCTGCAGTACGTTGAACTCTCTCTGTTGAGAATCATTGTGGATTAGGACATTTCGCCCGTCTATACAGACTTTTCTATCGCCTGCATGAACACATCTCAAGGCTAGGTCCTCAGCATTGAGCTTCGAAGAGGAATGACGCCAGTCTGATGGTTGGGATATAGTGCCAAGCATGCACGATGGATGTTGTGTCTTGATGGACGATCTTGCGACTCTGTATCGGTCCCTTGGCTTCCTGCTCCGCCCACTATGGTATATCAAAAGGCACGGTAGTTCTACACAGCCCTTTATGGAGACAAAGGAAAATTATCACAACTGTGTTTATAGGGTAGTCGCAAGGTGTTCCATAAGGTCGTGCCAGAATCACCGTGAGGGGGCGAGAAGCGTCCAGTCAATGATGCTCGATCCGGATTGGCTGGCATTCTGACCAATCAGGGCATGCCTTCGTTTGGTCCGCGTCCTGCACGTGACACATCCGTCTAAATGATGTGATGCTCGCTTATTAGGGACAGTTGGCCTCCGTACAACCGACCAGCGCAAAGTAGCCAGAGAAAATACGAGCTTTCGCCTTTGATACCAAACGGGACGGTCAGCGAACCTGTAATCGAAGTATCCAGATTCGACGTGACCTAGTAACAGCTCTTTTGCAGTCAAAGTTGCGGCACGGGTGGTATGGTAGATGCAACTCATGTCTGTCCTTACAGAAAATGATGTTTGGTAGCGAAATCTGAAGCAGACAATCTCGGTATTCTCTACCGAGAATACCAGTAGAAATGAGGTCCAAACTGCTTGAATGAGTTCTAGCCCAAGGCAACAGGAAAATAAATAAGTAAAAATAAACCGTTCAGCCGTAACACCTTTCCGGTGCCTAGCTGCCATGCTTCTCGAAGGAAGCACGAGGGATGGGATGTTACCAGGTTGCCCAAGCCTAGACAGGGGAAGTCGAGAGGCAGAGGTCAGACTCGAACCACGGACCCCTTGGTCAGTAAATTCGCGCTCTAGCCACTTGAGTCATCTCGCCCCGCAACACGAAAACGCATATTCCACCACTAGATCTGTAGACTAACCAAACTGTCATGCGCGACAATGAAAGCGGCTCATAGATACAAAAACGTCGGAAAATAATCTTGTTCACGAAAACTGCTCGTGCTTGCATGCCCACAATACCATAAGTTTTCCTTGGGAATGAAAGTGTATTGACCGTTTAGTTGATTACTCAGTTAACGACAAGTGCATCTGCAGTTGATGGTTCAACGAATTCCAGCTGATACCACGAGCAAGTTCGAAAAAGGATGTAGTCGTTAGTCATTTCACACAGTCTGCTGAGTAAGAATATTTGGATGGGACCTGCCACACATGAACAAGCATTTCAACGGTAGCTTCATTTTACTTTACGTAGCTGTCGGGAGAGTGGCCGACTTAAAAGTTCGATCTGGCAAAGCTCTAAAGTAAATTCTCGGAACTATCTCCAGCTGTTCATAGCAAGAGGAAATCTGCGCAATGGAGAAATGTTGGTCGGAGAAATGTTGGTCACAGTCTTGTATTGAATAGGTAGGTAAGTGAGCGGGCTGCTCTAAACCGTAAGCTGGTGATCGGTAGCAAATGACAGGATAATCTCGAACTGAAGACACCCTATGTGCGGCATTGTCCAAAGGGGGGAAAGCAGTCGGGAAAATGACAAGCTAGAATGGATTCTAAGAACAGCATCAGCGGCGGTAGGCAAAGATGCGGAACAACCGGACGCGCCCACGCAACAGTTTGATTTGGGCGGGAACTTCGCACACAGAACGAACAGACTGCTATTTGACCTAAGAATCAAACGGTACTTCAACGGACGATCGCTCGTTTATGATAGTGCTGGGATTTAGTGGGCGTATTGGTGGACTGCCACCCTGAAATCACGGGCCCCTTCCTCGTTGCACCCGCTTCGCATTAAATCGATTATTGTCGGGCGATGAGTCTCACGAAGTTGCTTGAAAATACAACTGTCAACACTGGACTCCGCTCCACTGTCCTAAGAAATAAAATGGATGCAGTTGCAATGAGGCCATTACACTCAGAGCATTGAATGGAACAGCAACAGAAAATGCGGGACAACGTTCACTTCTGTTATCTTGGTAGACGATCTCGTACGTTCAATGCGCAGTTGTGGCGGACAAAATCATAGGAAACAGGGTTGAAAACAGACTACTGATAAGTAGTTGATGGGAATCTATGTTTCTGTTGGCTTAGGAAGCAACCATCACACTGGCTTGTACAATTGAAGATCACTCTGAGTTTATTGTGTGCAACACTGGCTGTTGAGGTAACTACCAGGTACGTACACTCGACTTTACTTTTTTTAGGAGCTTGTTCATCGTAACCGCCAGGGTGATGCTGTCGTTTATCACTGCCCTGTGGTTCAGTTCAAGATCCAGTGACTTGCGAAGCCACCACAAAACAACGTTTTGGCGATTTTACTGTTGTGTGAAAGTGATATGGCGCTCTTCCCTCTAGGGCTTAGTAATGGGTGCTATACAAGGTTTGAAACTTGCACAACGCATCGACTTTGCCCGCATCATGAGCCCACAAGGGAATCACTTGAAAAGGCGGCTGATAGAACGTTCTGGCGAGATGGTCGGGGACGAGATGGCCCAAGTGGTTAGAGCGCGGATTTACTGACCAGAAGGTCCGACCTCCACCACTCGGCTTCCCCTGTCTAGGCTTGGGCAACCTGGCAGTATCCCAGCCCTCGTGCTTCCTTCGGGTGGCATGGCAGCTAGGTACCGGAAGGGTGCTACAGCTGAACGCTTTCTTTCTTTCTATCACGAAATTATGCCAAATCCTGGCTTGTGGAATCTCCCTCGATCCTTCCTATGATTGGAGGATGACACTCGGAAACATCACGTACTGCATTCTCGTACTTCTGTTCCAAGCAAGTCAGTCGCTTGCATTTTTATTCCATGTTTCCCTCATGAATGCTTCAAACTACGGATTGTTGCAGCGGGTTACCGTCGAACCTTCCACGCGTGGAAGTTCTGAACTAATGTCAGGAACTCAACTCAACTAATGTCTCCATCAGGCGCTCCCGGTAAATTTCTGGGCTTCGCAAAAAATCTATGAGTCGATTTGTGGCTTCAGTATTTCACCTTTTTTTGTTTCATGCCTCTTTTCTAACGGTAATACATGCAGCCTTTCTGGTCCTATCCGATGCGCACATTCATCATTCGTGAATATTCCGTCGGTACAAATATGCGAATTTGAATTATCGGGCACAGAGTCGAACTTGGCAGTTCTTGTGTTAGCGGTGTTGTGGAGTATAGGTACCCCGAATGCTCTGCTCGGATGTTGGTCTGTTCGCCAAGCTTGGTAATTGGGTTACAAACGTTTCATTTCCAGTCTGGGTACTCGGGTTGTGGGCCTTCCAAAACTGTGAAACGAACAAGTGGCATGAACTGAATACCAAGCTTATTATATAAAGCTGGGTTAATGACATGGAGCGTTTGCACTGAGGTGTCACTTATGAAGTAGGTCAACCATATGAAGAAAGAGAAACTACTCTTTCTTCGTCTCCGGTTGTCCCTTTTCATTGATGGGGATTGCAATCGAAGAAGTTTTGTTTACTCTTGATCGTCTTCCCGATAGATGCATTTCATTTTTAGGTTGAGACTGAACTATCAAGCGATTCCCAATAGAATGAAATTTCGACCTATCTCATGTGATTTCCTCAGAATAATAAACTGTTGACTGAGATATACTGGAATCGGATACGGAGAGTGCCGTGTGGCCTCGGCTTGCGGAAGTCAGCAGCATCAGAGACGCCCAAAATTTGCTGAGTTTCTTGATTATCTGCGGCCGAGGTCCCGAACGTATTTTTATTGCAGGACTCCAGTCCTCGTACTTTCACTAGATGTAGTGTTTGTTCGTAAATGGATGGACCGTTTGTTCTGTCGGTGAGTTGGAATCGCCTGATTTACATAGTTCAGGCTTCGAATGAGATATTGGATCTATGGTCATGGTTGTCTGGACGGAGTGAAGTGATCCTTGGAGAGTAATGGTGATTAAGGGAGGAGAAGAAAGGAACATGTCTTTCTGACCTTGAAGCAAGGTCGAGCTAGGCGTACTGACCGCGTAACTTCCGCCTGGTTAATGGTTACATGTGCTTTTCGCCTCATCTTCAGAAATGAAGTGAACTGCTGTCTAGACTTGGACAACAAACCAGCATCTCGTACCTTATCCTTGCCCCGGTTTGTTTACTGAGTGTACGTCTGGTCAGCTTGTCGAACACCGTGATCGTCGATTGATCTCAAACGGGAGGACTGGATTTGTCTGGTGTCACGTTGTTCTCCGTTCTAATCAGCGGACTTAACGTGACCTATGTCAAGGGTTCTGGAAGTAACCGAAGCAATGGTTGGTTCACCTGTGTTTGTGCGCTTTCTCAGAAGCATTGTACATATGATGGCAAAAGTCATTATGTGTTTTGTGACTGGGATATTTGACTACTGTTCAGTCGTTCATGTGCCACTTGGGTCGCACTGACAGTATTCACCCTATTTATTTAAACCCCATTCTGATCTCACTGCGTTGTTAACCTGAATCGATGAAATAATTGCTTCCTTTTCATCAAATACTACCAATCTGCTCAACTTTCCGCAGACGCCGCATTCCGGATCTACGCTCCACCCCTCTCGGAAGAATTCATTACCTTCCTTAACGATCTTTTGTCAAATGGCCCGCCAGACGAATCCGACATCCATTCGCCATCATGCTCTGTCGACGAGTTGGACAATGTATTGGACTGGAAGCGATTGATCCGTCTACCGGAAATTTGCTTGCTTCAGGGGTTCAAACCACTCCAAATTCCAACGCAGCAGCGCTTATGCGAAACGGAGTCGCAGGCGCCGTTATTCCCATTCAATATGGATTGGTTACATGCACGAAATTCGGTGAAACCGCTTCAAACGGATGCTGATCAACCGAATGCTAACGTGCTTCATTATTTCCGTCTGACATCCTCTCAACAAATCATCCACGAGCGGATTGAATTCATCCTAAAGTCGGCTCGGTAAATATTCTTCCTGACGTTCTCTACCTTGCTCTTTTTTGTATTTTTGTTCCCTACCTTCACTACGTGCTGGCTTTAGTCTTGCCGTGCATCGTCAGACGAATTTGCCTTCTTCTAACACAGACTTTATGGAGCCTGTTTCAATTCGAGTGAGCAGCGGTAAACCGCGTGCCAAGGGTTCCAGCTGCTAAAGTGGAAAGTGGAAGAGCAGGGAGATATAGAGGGGAGGCGGTGGAACATTTAGTTAATTGGTGTTGAATTAGTTTTTTTTTTAAAGAAAGGGCTTTGTTGCAAAAGTGCAGCCGATTGTGTGTGTGTGAGAGAGAGAATCTTGTTTGCTAGTCTCAGTAACCATTCATAAGTTGAGTCTCCTGAGAGTCGGCAACTGTGTCAACCCGGCAGTGGTTAAAGCTTTTATGTTTCACTGCTATTGCGTCCACAGGACTGGGCCAGAAGAGCTCTGCGAGCTGTGCTCTGTGCTAACCGGAGCAACCTGTGATGCCTGAGTAGCGCGTCGATCGTTGTAGAGTTTCTTCTTCATAAAGCCATCTGGCGTACTTCAGCATTAATAGTCGGAAGTTCTCACTAGACTTGGTCAATGCGTTGGGGATACCGATGGTCGAACAGCGAGATTTTTCGTATTTCCTCCATTCGGCTTAAATACCTTTCGCATGACGTTTTTCTCTCCCATTTGGATCACTCCGTTCCACTGGTGCGTAGTGTGGAATTGAAGCTGTTCACATGGGTTCCACCAGCCTCTTGAATAATGTAGGGTACTGACTATCCAGACAGGGTGCTCTATCATGTTGGAGGGATGATATTTCACGACGGTATTAGTGTTCTATCCAGTTTCTTTCTGCTCTTCCAGAGATTGCGTAGGGTTGCTCTTTGAGGTGCTCATCTCCTCGCTCAAGATGATGATTCAGCGGCTGGATTGCTGTTTCATCCTCTTCCTTTTGCTATCCTGTTTTTATTTGACCGAATTTGGTGAATTAGGACGCTGCTGCTTCCTGCAACGAAAACCTTCCCAATCTCTTGGGCATTTCCAGTTAGTGATCTGGTAGAGTAGTACTCAACCTCAAGTGTTTAACGAACCTGTAGTAATCCACGCTTGCAGCCGGGCTCCAACGCCTGTAGTCAAAGTCCCACTACCTCACTAAACCATCTCCAATCCCGTTCACCGTTTCACTTATTAGTGCTCCGCCTCAGCGGAACTTCGAGGCAACTTTGATTTAAACAAGCAGAACACATCCCCAATTTTGTAACAAGAATGCAACGCAAACGTCACCAACTTCATCAAATAGTCTTGTTTTGTCTTTCGATGGTTTTTCAGCGTCCCTCAAAAGCGCACGACAAGTGCTCAGTCTTATTCCCCCTGATAGGTGCTGAAACGATTTCATAACATGGCCTCCCAAGAAGTTATCGGGTGAGGTATATAACCTCGTGCAAACGAATCTGTGTGCACAAATCTATGGTTGCATGAGGTGTACGGGACTTCTAGGTATCCACACAACATGGTCGTTAGAAAGCGGATATTTTTCTTAATTAATCTATGCACCTTAGCGATTACTCTAAAGGAACGGCCATAAAGCTGGAGAAAATTTATTCTTTAAAAAATCGTTTAACTGTAGCACTTCTTCGGTGCCTAGCTTCCGTGCCACTAGAAGGAAGCACTAGGGATGGGATACTGTCAGGTCGCCCAAGCCTAGACAGGGGAAGCCGAGATACAGAGTTCGGGTTCGAACCACGAACCTTCCGGTCATTAAATTCGCGCTCTAACAAACTGAGCGATCTCGCAGGAACACTAGTCGCCATTACTATCTTTGTATGTGTGTCTGGCACTCCTTCCTATTAGAATATCTCGCAGTTTTCGCTATACTTGAACTGCAATATCTACAACCTCCGAGCTGCTCTCAGACCATGGAGGTTTATCCTCTCCTACAGCAGAATCTAATGGGAATGAAACATCACATCTGAATCAGTAACGGGCTGACCGGTTGGTCGTCCACAGTCACAGTTTAGCATGAGTGCTTTTCATTCACTGTATCGCTCGATGCCCTAGCTAAAAAGCTGCTATCCACCAACAACCAAGGCAGTTTGGTGATTGGTCATTTGTTCTTCGGCAATCGCTGTGGATCTATATCTGGTTGCCTCAAATAAGTCCCATCACTGTCTCCCCGTTATCCTTGCAGTGTCACCACGATCTGTCGGCGATGATCCTCATTCAAATCGACATTTCCGCGCTCGTCGAATTTCACCAAAGCTTTTTCTCTAAACTGTGTTCTTTCGTACATGAGACTCGGCTGTTCATGTAGGTTAACCGAACCGCCGTCCAACGAACCTTTTTCTGTGTCGAACTGCCTTTCATCTACTTGTTGTTTACCTCTTTGTCTTGTGGTCTGTCCTCCTCACATAGAATCATTGCCCGTGAGTATCCAGCTTTACTTGGCTGGATTGATGGCGATTCCGGGCCGCTGAATTCATCTTTCCCCAACGGTCTATTCCGTACCGTTGCTAGAAAGCCACCTGTTCTCGCTGAACTGATAATTCCTTCGCACGTCAGTCAGCAACCGTCCTCTGATGACACACCGCTGGATGAGAACAACTTGACTATCATGCACCGAACTGAGGCTAATAGCTCAACGGGAAATCAGACTCTGTTCAACCACCATGCGGTGCCTCTACAAATAGAGATTCAGCCGAATGATAATACAACCAACACATCAGTAAGTAGAATCACTATCCTTTCATGACCTGAACTCGCTTGGAATAGTTAAATTACCATTATTACAGAGTATCACCCATTTTTGTGACTAATGTACTCATGGGTTCATTTCTCAATCTCAGGACCAACGTGTGCTCACGGAACAATCACTTCCCGTCCAACGTTCTACCAACGCTGCTTCCGATGCTTCATCTGAACCAACGGCGCATGTGGACCAAATCGCTGGTGAACGAAATCTGCACTCAGGAATGGCAATCACACCACGTTCACCAAATGAGCCAGTAGAGTGGAGGGCTACGCCCGCGAATTCAATTGAACAAATCTCCAGTAGGACAGCAGATGCTGCGCGTTCTACTTCGACAACGACAACCTCTGGATCTGCATCCGGTGGTTTGATTGTGAACGCGGAACTGGCGAAATTCATTCAAGAACAGGCTAGTCAGGTAGGCTCTTGGTCCTGTGTTTTCCTGCTGCCATCCAGCAGTAAAAGCTCATAGGTCTTTTTTTACACTGTAGTCGGGTTCCTTGTTCCTCTGATGCATTAGTTATTGTCATAGCTTTCCATATTCTTATTCCTTCCCAGGTCGCAGCCAGACAGCAACGTGCCGAACTGTCCTCGTTAAGTCCGAACATCAACGGTGATCATCCCGATGCAGCAAACAGGGCCCCGTCCACCAATAATGATGGTTCAACTGTTCACAGGACCGGTAAGGCGAACCAGACTCGCCTTTGCTTGAGCGCTGCGTTTCGTCGCGACCTTCCTCCGCGTTTTGCTCGACGATTACAAGCGGAGCTACTCGAACGCGAAGCACAGGAACAGAGACTTGGCACAAATGTTGAGTCGAGTGATAAGCTAAATGTGAGTTTGGATTCATCAGTGGCTAACTACTGAGTAGTGGAAGCTTACTGGCTGCAGGGTTGACCTTCTCCCTCTACCCTTCGATACCGCTTATAAAACTAAAAGATGTTGTCGGACAATTCATCACTAATTTCGAACTTTTACAGGCGCAGTCTCATCTTTCACTGTACGGCAGTTAAGCGTCAGTATGAACACTGATGTTGCTGTCTCTGATGGTAATGATCTCTTTTACTTCTATATAAAAGTGGAGATATGCGGAGTTTGGAAGCGTCTTTTTATATTGACGTACACCCTAGATGACTCCCGTCTAGTTTATTTTTTTAACAACTCAATGGGCTTCATTATATGTAAAATCGCCTTTAAAGATGTTTGTTCTAGAGGTTAAACACGAACTGACGACTACTTTTTTGCCCCAGGATTACTTTGGAGTGCTCCAGACTGTCAAGACAGGTTTTACTGTGCAAGCGAACATTCAGATCATGCGGTCGGTGACACGTTGGTCCTGTGTTAACTTCAGGATTGGGCGAGATGGCTCAAGTGATTAGAGCGCGAATTTACTGACCGGAATGTCCGTGGTTCGAACCCGACCTCTACATCTCCGCTTCCCCTGTCTAGGATTGGGCACCCTGGCAGCGGTATCCCAGCCCTCGTGAAACCTTCGGGTTGCATGGCAGTTAGGCACCGAAAGAGTGCTCCAGCTGAACGATTTTTTCGGGATTGGGTTGTAAGATCTGTACGCAGCACCCTCACTTATGGATTATTCTCCGGTATAGCTCGAAATGGCTCAGTGGTTAATGTGCCAACTCACTGACTATAAGGTCCGTGATTCGAACCCAATCTCTGCATATCGATTGCTACTGTCTAGGCTTGGGCAACGTGCCAGTATATCAACTCCCGTGATCTCATAAGGTGGCGTGGCAGCCAGACACCGAATGGATGTTGCGGATGTATCCGGATATACCTGGCCATTAATCGTCCCTCCGCATTTCAGAGATACGCTGTTCGTCTGGTCCTCCAAAGGCCATCAGGATTTGTGTCCTACACAGTTCCGATGTTTCTCACTCCGGATTGGTCAGCACAATGATTTTACAATATCTACTACAGAATGATCCAACTTCATATGAGAAGCTTCTTGTCGATAATTGAAAACAGCAACTCAGTTTCCTATAGTGGCTTGCTGGAACAAAATGAGATGACTAGAAATCTGAAGACTCCAAGATGAGCAACCGGTTAACATTGACAGCAGCGGTTGGACTTTCCTTACCACTTATACTCTCTACTGTTTCTCCATTTCAGTCGCTCACTTCGAGCGTAGCCATGCTGAATCTCGACCAGCCTGCTCCATTGGCTCGTAAAGAATCCGAAGCACCGTTTGAACTTAATTCATTGTTATCTACAACAGGTGATCCGGTTGCGTCCGATGAACTGATCACCATATCCCCAGCTGTTAACTCCATTGAGGCTGGTATCTTCTCTTCTGGCTCACTTCAGCCCGCACACGTACTCCATGCTCGACAGCTCACCACCAGTTCGACTCCATTTGTGAGTTCTAGTTTGTGATCATCGTTATTCTTTTTGATACCCTGGGTGAACGGAGGTATCCTTTATTGTTTTTTTGCAGTAACCCCGCATCCTCGAGGCAAATAACCGTGAAAGGGGGTCTCTCCTGGGAACTGACGTGTTTTCCCAGGTATCGCACGCTACCCTTCGACTGATGGATGACGTTGCTGTGTGCTCTGAAAAGAGTGGCTTATCCTCAGAGGCGTTATTTTTGAGGACATTATAGTACTCTATGTCGATCATGTATGATATTTACCCAGCTGGGAGGGGTATGGGGCAGTTCAAACTGCCAGCTTGACGATCGTTTGCCGAAGACTGTTCTCGCCTTCACTGAGAGATGAGGACGCCTGTCGTTCATCTAAATTCCGCTCTAAGTACACGCCTGTATGCTAATTCATTCCGGGTAATCGTTCTGCCAGTTGTTAACAACACTTAGTTGGGCGAATTCCTCCTACTCGGTTGTTCGCCTTCAGGCAATGAATAATATGTCATAAGTAACCGAAGACCACTTGAACACAATTAATCAAATGGTCAAGCCAGTAAGTACTCAAGGTGACATCGTGATAACGGGGAAGGAGTTGAGAACGGAGGCACCAAGCACAATGGGTAAAAGTGTATGTCCAACAGGACAACCAAGCACACACAAATATCGGACACTTTTGGGTTTTAACACCCATCAGGCAGCTATTTTATCGGACTATGTTTCGGACACGATATGCAATCACCTGTTTGGAAAGTCGACAACATAAGCATGCTAAAGAACCTGATTTGCCCATGATTTCCTCAAAGCTGTCGTCCAATCGTTTACATGAGGGCTTACAAAGAATTCCAAGGGAATTGTCTGGTGCACATCCAACTCCCATCAGATATCTGACCATCAAAGAACGTATAAATAATCTGTTGATTCACCAGGTCACTTCAGTGCTTGTCCACCAAGTCACCTGATCCTATGCAGTTGTGTCAGACAACGAATTTTGTTTACGCAAGTGCTTGAAGGCTTCGTTTGCTGGCCTGGAAAGCGTGCCTTTACAACCAAGCCTGCGCAATTTTCAGGAGACCATTCCACAGAACAGATCGCCCTTGTTTGATCCTGTGAAGCAGGATTCTTTCGGTGGCTAATTCTCTCCCATATGAGGGAATTTTTAGAGTGACTCCCCTGAAATCGACACTTGTATTAGCGCTCCTTGATGGAGACTACTTAGATACTTGTACCACTTCAAAATAGCTAGCCTGAAGCCATCACGGGAACCGCACAAGGCCGGAAATCTTGGTGAATGGTACTCACTGACCTGGAGTGTTCATTCATCGCCAATCTCTTGTGCCCGGAGAGGCCTGGTAGCCGCTATGGCCAACTGTTCCACAGTTGACCTAGTCCTGAATTTCTGACTTTTTTTCATCCATTATAGTTTGTTTCTTCGTTCGAGCTACTGAAGGACAACCTACAGTATCCATATGCAGGAGGTGTTTCAGTCATCTAGGGGTTGATTATTCGCTTTCGGCGTACAGTGTCCTGTGCTCCCGATCGGTGTACTAGCCTTTTCAAAAGTTTATCAATCAGTGAACAATGTTCACTTTGCGGATGCACATTTGTGTGTAGAGTTACGCTTAAATAACTGCCAAATGGGTATAGGGCTATCACTACTAACGAAATGACTCGGTGGTTAAAGCACGATCACTTGAACCAAAGATCCATGGGTCAAATCCATTTCCATCACTTGTTATCCCACGTCGACCGGAAACGGGCCATCCGAAATACCGAAAGTCAGTGTGATTGTACGAGCGAACCGGCTGTGGTTCCCCCTGATGGCGTTTCATGATTGACCAGCACATTGATTAGGACCAAACGCTTCTGTCCACAGCACCGCAAACATTGTAGTGTAACTGTACAGGTACTTCTTTGGTCGCTTTATGGATACATTTGTAGTGATCGCACTCAACCTCATCGCACACTACTCAAGTCGCCTCATTGGTGGTTAGAGACATTGTCAGACATGGCCCAATCGCGCCCTCAGTGGTGTTCGTGCATCCAAGCCACCCACCTCCCCAAGTCGTCGGTGAACGAAACTGTGGCAGCTACAACCACTGCATGACAAGTACGCGGTTTTTCCAGCTGCTGATGATAATGATGTTGATATACAACAGTGTACAGGACAACATTCCAAGGGCCGCGACTACAGAAACTGCCGTGGATATGACAGCCCAGTCCTATCGTCCGTCCCCCGAGATTCAAGGCGGCTGTGCGCAACTCAAGGTTTTTAGTGTGTGCACCCAATCCTGACTCATCTTTCCGTCAGCCTCAATAAATCGAAAACAAACGCTAGTTACCACTTGTTACATTTTGCAATCACCGATAGGGAAAAATTTTCCAAGCTATCGGCGTATCTCTTTTTCTTTAGTGGTCCGTGTGTTCCGTTCCAGAATTCTCTCACATCTAAAGTATGTTGAATGCCATGCGCATTTTGTTTCAGCGTGCGTGGTGCTTATTACCAATTGTGCGAATCTGATTGACATGCATATTTAAACTGAAAATTTTTATACTTAGCCTTTGTTATTCTTTTTCCATCAATAAGCTTACTCCAGTCCAAAACGCGTCATTGGATGTGAGCCCAAGATCGTACGTCGCACCTCCACTTTCTATGTACCCCACGCCTCCGATGCCTTTACCCTTCTCCCGGTCACACATGATTCCAGATTTCCAAACGGCACCGCCCACAGCGCCACCAGCACCTCCAGTGTTCGGTTCTCAAATCCCACCGCGATCCTCACTGTATGACTGGCATCCACCTAATCGGGTGTTTGATCCGGTAAACACAGCTCCGGTGTCCTTCGCATTACCCTACACCTCCACTGTGATTCCTGCACAGCCGGTCCACTCAACCATGTCAAATCCATTGCTCCCGATTTCAGACCATCTTCCTCCGCTAGACCTTGACAACATCGGTGAAGGTGTTGGTTTCCCAGGACAGTACCGCTTGAGGTCGCTAGGACAATCAGCAGAATACAACTCCGCCACTGTGAATACGGATGCCGCAAGGTATTTCGCACTTCATAAGAACTGCAATGCGAATTAACCGAATAGTCTGATCTCTCTCCTACGTGTTATACTGATCTTCGAAAGTTTTATGGAGCCACAAGTTAGGGTAGGTTTTCCGACCATTTCTAGCTTCTAACTGCGGTTCAATCCTGGACCTGGGTTCCCGTTGTGTAGCTCATTTGAGTAGCTTCTTTGCGTGCTGGAGAAAGCTCATTGGCCAACGAACACGGTATTAATCGGGGTCTATCCTAGCTTTTTCGTCGCTTCTCTATCCTCGTTCTTTATTCGGACTACCTGTGCTAGCCCCGCCGAATATCCTGAGACTGCTTGTTCTCTAACCTCGCGTGATCCCAGCATCAGGAAGCTGGCACTTTATGGCTCTGCAGGCTATACCACTTTCCAGCAGTATCTCTAACACGGTTCAAAAAACAGTCTTGTCCGGTGTGGAACCGCCTATAAAACTGATTCAAAACCGTCGATTTCCTCTATTTTGGCTTGAAACTCCAGGCGTCCCGTGTGTAGATTAGTTCTGCAGCCCATTTCACTTTTCTCCCTTCCTTTCCTTTATCTAGATTTGTCCAGCACTCACTGCTGCTGAACAGTTCTGCAACGTCCACAAAAGGCTTCGCCTATCCAACGGAAGGACTACTGGAGTCTAGTGTACTCCATCCGGCGGCGGTGGTTACCTCCACCGAGCAAGAACAGTGTCTCAATTTCCCGCCGGTGCCCTGATTTAACGTGTGAAAACGATGAATTCATGATGTAAGTTGCTTTGCCTATGATGGTTTAACGTTGGGATCGCGTATGATGCGGATGAACACGTGATTAGCTGATGAGACTGTACGGATTCTATTGGTCAGGTGCCAATGGAACGCATTGTGGGTGGCATATGCACACTTAGTTGATCGCCCCTTGAAATCTAATGCCTGAGTACTTTGTATTTCGCCATACATTCACTGTCTCTTGTGGTTCTGCTATCCCCGATTCCCTCAATACTGGTTGGATTATGGTATAATAACACGTTAACATGCCAACGTTTATTACCCAGAGTTTCGGCAACCGTAGTTGACCTTCTTCAGGGGTGGAATAATCGAACTCAACATATAAAAAAAACAAGAAAAAGAGACTAGGCTGACAGCCACTGTTACCCAATTATCGTGACTGGTCAAGGAAACACGTCCACGTCTGAGGTTTGGGACTGCGGCTAACGCATGACGCATCTGGTTAGTCTGATTGCTGGCTGATGCACACATGTTTGGTGTGGATTGTCAGGGGGCTCCCCGCAGCATAGTTCTGCATGTATCGAAAGTCCTGTTTGAATTGACTGGGTCTAATCAAACTGTGACTGTGCTAGAGTGTGCAGACCAATCACCGAATCTCCTATAGTAGGTACAGTGTCGTGAATCTACTCAGTTTGCAGGTGCACCAAGTACTGATGGGCCGGGAGACTTCAGAGAATGTCTGAAGCTTTCGGGGAATCTGACAAAAATATTCACAGCCTGGATTCGAATGCCCTAAGCGCAGTATCTAGCTTGATTACACTCTCAAGCCTCCTGAGTCCCACTCATACCTCAAAAGAGGGCGCTGTTAACATCGCTTGCTCGGACCTATTGGTTGACAATTGATTTTGTTTCTGACTGTGCACTACCGCTGCTTAACCATTGTACCAAACCAATCCAGGCTATACTAGACATCAATAGAACGTGTGTCCAGTTTTTACACACCTAGACGTTTTGAGGACCGTTTGTATCGAACCGGTTCTCAAAGTGTACCGTTATCCATAATACTCGATCCAAGTGAAAGTCGTGGAGAAGGCAGTTACATTACCTTCTTGTCCTGATAGACAACAATCCACAGCACACTAGATGCAGTGGTCTTCTTTGTTCAGTGTTTTGTTTCCTCTCTGGACAAAGGCAATTCCGGTACGCCTTTCCTCGGCGTTTCTCGTTCCAAAATGACTTTAGGTATTCTCCGGTATTTAGTTCAAGTCAAACCAACCCTACTAAGGTTTTGTGCACTTGAATGAGCATTTTGATGCAAATCTCTAGTGGAATCACGCAAATGGTAGAACGATAGTTTGACGTATGCTTAAAATATATATCACTATAGGCGACACGCGAGGTTGTTAAGCAAGGCAATCAGGATAGCTGGAAAGTTCTGGTGTGTAAATCTGTATTCGGAGCGAGTACATGAAGTAAGCTTGGCTTTTTTGGGTGACCGTGGAAGGGAATGGAAGTAACCTGTTGTACGTATGTGACCTCCCCGTGTGAGCTCGTTACCTGCTCATGGTTACTCTGCGTCATCTTATCGAACCGGTGTTCAAGTGGTACTGAAGATGTTTTGTGTATCTGTACACATTCTGTGATTGTTACATTGTGAGTGCAATTTTATCGTGAAATTGGACTGTTCTACTCATAGTGGTGTCTCTTTTCAGCATACAAGGCGTGGAACCATTCACCACGAGTTTGTTGTGCGTTCTACTGACTCTTCAGTTGCCGGCTCTTTTTTCGTCACTAGGAAAAATCCATCGCCTATTTGTTCCGATCTGATGGGACTTGCTGACTGGTGAAAAAGTGGATCTGGCGCCACTGTGTGCCTTGTCTCTCCTACCAAACGAAAGGCGTGATCTTTTCATGCACAACAACCGGGGTCATCACACAAGAAGAGTTCAGCTTGACGTACTCCGTACCAGAGTTGATCGCCCTTCATAACCGACTACCCTTCTGCTTGCTGTTTTCTACAATGCTCAAAGCTTCCGCCCTTTCAGATGTCCTTCCATGCTCCTTTTTCACCGTTGCTCCACCCCAATGTTGTCCCCCAATAGTATCTTTCGATTTTCGTTGATTCTGGCTGTTTTTCACTGTCATTGAAGAGTGTTTTTGTCTATTCTTTTGTTGTTTTTAGCTTACGGGGGTATCGTGGTTTAGCTCGTGTAGGTCATTGGCCGTCAGGTCCTGCCTAGGCTTGGACAACCTAGCAGTGTCCCATCCTTCGTGCTTCCTTCTGGTGGCGTAGCAGTTAGGCACCGAAATGTGCTACAGCTGAACGGTATTGGCAGTCAACCCCAGCCCAAAGCGACAAGTTAGCCACCGGCAACTCGTCTGGTTCAGATTACGTCCAAACAATAAACAAGCATTATTTGAGGTGCTCGAATGCTGTGGGAGATGTCAGGCCGTGTTGAAGATTTTTTTATGAACTTTGTTCCAATAGATCGAAAAAAATAAAATAATCGTTCAGCTGTAGCACCCTTTCGGTGCCTAGCTGTCATGCCACACGAAGGAGGCACGAGAGCTGGGATCTGCCAGATCGCCCAAGCCTAGACAGGGGAAGTCGAATGGCAGAGGTCGGGTTCGAACCACGGACCTTCCGGTCAGTAAATTCGCGCTCTAACCACCTGAGCCATCTCGACCCCTTCTAATAGATCAGTGTGGTTCTAACCATTGAAGCACTGGCATTGAATGCTCTAGTGTGATCATCACAGAAAACATGTGGGCATGGTTCCTTGGGTTCCGGATTTCATCACAATGGAATGTAGGCCAGACGTTTTTCTGTGGCTTGAAGTCAATCGTTATGGACCAAACGTTGTCTTGTTCCACTGTTTTGGCGCTTCCAACGATCAAATTTAAATCAGTTCATAACTGTCCTGTCAGACCCACTGCTGATGTTAGGTGCACGGTCGCAGTGAAGCCACATACACCCAAAGCAACTCGACTGATCCGAGCAACGTTCTTCATGTTACTCCTCCACCCCATCCCTCCAAGGGATAGGAAATTCCTTTTGCACCAGTGGTGGCCTACGAAAGAAGGACTACTGTTGACGCTACATGAGGCACTGAAGCGTCACAGTCACTCAGACATAAGCTGACTTAAAGGAGTATGCAACCTAATCAGCGATGATGAGCCCAGGCGAATGAACACGCGACGAACCTGGTTCGTCGATTAAGATTAAGAAGTGAGACCCTAACTAAGGATCGCTAACGACCATTAGGATATAAGCAGATAACTTGAGGTAATCCCTTCCAAGAGAAAATCTTCCTCTGAATTGAGGCATTCCACCCAATGAGGTCAGGCGGTCCCATTCTCTGTGGTGTTCTTCGTTCAGATGACCGTTTTGAAAACATAGTCCGTATCGCCCCTCTTATCGAAGAAGTAGGTAGATGTGCTCCGTTGACTGTGACGGAGCAAGTAGTTAAGTTTGAGCTGACACGTAGCGGACGAACAAGTTGACCATGACCGTTCTGAAATCCCATCTCAGCTAAGATCGCGCAGTCATTCTGGCAGTTTTAATCTTCACCTACTTGGTTTAAGCGAAACTTCCACAGTTCTCCCAAACAAACTGTTGTCTGGATCAAAACCAAAAAGGAAGAACAAGGAAAAACAGCAGTTTCTTGACTCGTGGCACGCAGTGGATGGAGGCAACGAAACAAGCATATGTGTATATATAGGTTGGTTTCAAAACATCACAGATTTGGGAGAGGCGTGGTTTGCTGAAGAAAGTGATGAACACAGTAACCGACGGCTGTGTTCAATGGCTGTGTCCCAGACTGAAAAACACAGGTACTATTGATCCGGCAGTAAGGACAAGCAGATCGGGTAGGCGAAGATGGGGAACTGATGTTCCAGGTGCGGTAACATTCGAGCTATTGGAAGCAGACGAAGATTTGTTGTAACCGATAACCGGGTCCTGGGAGCCCATCGTGTACAAAGTATAGTCGGATGGATTCGCATTTTCCGGGACACCAGTGTGTTTTCGTGAGTCCCCTTCCGGACTGGCTGAGTGGGCTTGGATAATCTCGGGGAGAATGTGGGAAGCGGCCACATAAAGGAATGTTCCACCAGAAAGCAAAAGAGCGAAGCCTGTTTTTATCGCGGCTTGGGAAGCAGCCTACAGAACAAATACAAGATGAACATTCGTGAATGATGCGACAGATCACCGCCAATTGTAAGCGTTTCATACACATTCGTATCCTCTGTCTAACAAAAACAAAACGAACATTGTTATTTATCAGGAGTTGTCGTACGAGCCTTGGGCCTCATCTCCACATGTGAGTCCAAGGACACCCACCTGAATCTTTGTCAAACTCCAATACAAGAGTGAGAATTTTGGCTAACTTAGATCGAAACAGTTAATGCCAAATACTATGGAAAGCAAGAGATTTCTTCCATAATGAAAATGCATCTGGCTAAATTGGAAACAGGTTGTGCTGTGTAACCGCCAATCCAATCCCCCCCCCCCCCCCCGATGATACTTA